ATGCCCTTTGAATGCCAAGCCCTGAGCCTGGGGAACCTACTTCACCCTTCCAAACCTCAGCTCATTGAAAAAATGAACATGAGAATCCACCAAACTCAGAGGGAAACCTGGTTGTGGGTATTTAAATGAAAAGACAACTGCAGCCCAGACCAGAGCTCAGAGCCTGGAGTTCCCTGGACTCCCCGGCTTACATGGCCACGCTAGAGGTCCCATACTTTATACCACTCCAAGATTCAGGGGGCTTAGTGGGGTACAAACTGCAGCAGCTCTAGAAGCAGCTTGGCAAAGGGAGTTCCCAAGAAGGTGTGGACCCCCACATTGATGTAATTTATGTGGGCAAGGCTCCCTTGCACCTGCCCTGTGTGCATGGTCCAGATGGGGCTGGCAGAGTCCTCACCCGTGGGCAGAGAAGTGGACTTCAGGGTTGGGTGTACCCAATCAGCTGCCCTCCCAGATTATTGATGTTGCCTCCTCCTCCCCATCTTCAGCTTAACTCAAGGAATCCTGATCTATGAACACTTGTTTTATAAATTTCCTGCCTATAACCCTGCCCCCACCTTCACCCTCTGATCTTCACTGGGTCTAGTCCCAGCCTTTTCCACCACACTTGGTGAGGCTCCTTGGGGCTTGGCACCATGGTTTAGTCCCAGGAACTTCAAGTGAATGGTCACATGAGCTTGATGGGGTGAGAGTGTCCTTTCTACTGACTGTGTGCCATGTCACATGGAGAGTAGGAGAACTGTGAGAATCAGACAAGATTCCTGTCCTTAGGGATCTCATGCTCTAGGCAGCAAGAAATGACATAAAGAAAGTACCCTCTAAACAGAGAACTACAAAAAGCAGTGGCACTGTCACTGTGTCTAGAACATAAGAAGCACAGCTTGCCCTGCTGTGGGGATCAGGGACGGAGGAAGTGACTGAAAGTCATGTAACATAGAAAGAGCTGATATTCTTAGTAGATAAAGAATTTCTACAAATGAACAAGAAATATGCCAGGTATGCATATTTAGTGAAAGAATATGAAATAGTGGAGGATTATGTTCATTAGAATAAGGACTATAAATAAATGGCTCTTACATAAATGAAGAGATAGTCACCTCACTCATACTAAGAGAAATGCACATTGAAATTTGTTATGTCAACAACTTATTTTGTCACAAAAAGCAAGACAGTCGTATTTTTTCTATTGAAAGTCCACAACACCACTTATGTAACGGTCTTGCCCCCAAACAAAACGAAGAAAAACCTAAAACTTGAATCTGATCAAGCTTCTAGAATATAAATACAAGTTTACAGGCATACAGGGGACAGAGAAACAGTTAAAAAACACCACTGGGATGTAGTTGGCAAACCCAAACTCTGGGATCCTCTCCAGAACAAATAAACTGATTTCTTCAACACAACAAAATTACAAGGCAAATGAAAGAGACGCAGAGAAGAAATCTGATGATTGGAAGAGACTCATGAAGCACATCAAAAAGATAAATAATAACATATATTGGTAAGGATGTTGAAAAATTGGAACCTTCATACATTGTTGGTGAGAAGGTAGAACGGTGCAGATGCTCTGGAAAATAGTCTAGCACTTCTTGAAATGGTTAAACACAGAGTTACCATATGATGCAGCACTTCCACTGCAAGGTATAAACCCAAGAGGACTGAAAATGTATGTCCACACAAAAACTTGTACATGAATGTTCACAGCACAATTATTTATAACAGCTGAAAGTGAAAATAATCTAAATGTCCATTGATTAATAAATGGATCAATAAAATGTATCATATCCATACAATGGAATATTGTTCAGCAATAAAAAGAAGTACTGAATATGCTACAACATAGATGAACCTTCTTTTAGTGAAAGAAGCTAGTTACAAAGGACCACATGTTGGGGAGAAAAGGGGAATTGATGTAGTGAACTCTGTGAATATACTAAAAACAATTGAATTATATACTTTAAATGGGTGAATGGTAAGCTATGTGAATTATATCTCAAAGGTGTTATTAAAAAAAGAACCACATCTATCAGTTTTCAAAGTGTGGGCCTTATTCGAACACCAATTTTTAAAAAACCTTATAAATATCATTTATAGATAATAAGAACATTTGACTAGATATTTGATTTTACGTATATGTGTATATATATGTACACATACCTGTTTTTAGTAGGACATGATAAAAAATTACAGATGATATGTTCATAATTTTTTTCAAAAAATGGTGCATGGGAGAGGTGGTAGTCCAGACAAACCTAGGTTTTTGATAATTGTTGAAGGTAGATTATTGGTGAATTGGGTTTGTTATGTTATACTCTACCTCATACAGGGAGCCCCTCAGTGCTGTGTGGCCTTGGGCAGCACCGACCCTCTCTGTGCCTCGCGGTCCAGGGAGGCATCTAGTCAGGCCCCCTGGGTTTCTCAGTGTTGTTATCTCTACTGACTCCCACCTCTTTGGTGTCTTCTCTCCTGCAGGCTCAGGTTCTGCCTCTGCAGAATTTGGAGGATCTGAGCCTGGTTTCATAATAAAAAGTAAAAAATGAAAAGAAATATCCTCAGGGAGTTATACTACCCTATACTTATCAGACATGGGTCAGCATGATTGATGCCACCTGGTTTGGGTAAGGTCACAGTAAGAGGGCAATTGAGCAATGCCTTTCTGAGTCAAAACGGCAACCCCTCTCCTGAGTAACATGCTGTTTATACACAGTTCCTTGCAGATGTGATGTCTGTCCATGTAACTCACTGCCACCACCAATCTCTAATGCATGATGTTTTTTATAGCAAAGGATAAACCTGCTGAAATGTCTCTGATCAGGAGCCAGTTACATCAAGGGTAATTCCTCTTTGAAGAGAAGACCTTCCATTAAATAGTATGCAGCTTTACCATGTGGAGAGGTCACTCTGTGTAAGGAAATAGAAAAGCAGAGTGCCACAAAGGGAGGGAATTTTGACTATTTAGGTGAAAACCAAAGATGCATGTACACATCCATTCTTGGGCAAAGTCCTAGACAATGTGTGGAAGGCCCTGGGAACCTTGATGGTCACTGTGAAGGAGCCAGGACTGGTAGGACAGTAGGGAGCCAGACCTATCACCTGTGCCCTCAGATGGTTTTGTCATTTCTTTCTTTCTGAACATGGGTCCAATCCAAAATATTAACATTTTTAAAGCGAGGCATCAGTGAGGCTTAGCAGATAGTTGTTCTGGAAGGTCCTGGTGAATTCAGAGATATTGGTCAGCTGGCCAGTAAGGACGGAAGCCCTCTAGGGTGGGCCATGGGGGAGGGATGAGTGTGAATGCTTCTGGGGCAGATTCGACTGGGAAGGGGAAGGATAGTAAGAGGACTATGCCCCACAAGATGGGGTGCAGGAGCTGCAAACACCCTAGGCATGGAATCCGCATAACCCAGAGCTAGCACAAAGCCAGATCACCTTTGATCTGGAGGCCAAGAAATGCCCTCTCTCGTGGGCAGGTGCATGGGGTAAAGAGGACACAGAAGCTTCTCCAATAGGCTTGGAGAGGGCAGGGGCTTCTAGAGCCTGATTCCCAGAGGGCCAGTAACCTTGCCTGGGGCTCCTTTGGAGGGGCACTAAGTGGGTGCCAGTGCACCCCTCTGGCCAAAGGCACAACACCCTGAGCAGGATAGGAGGGGGGAAATATTATTATTACACACGGGCAGCACCATCTCCACCACAAACATTAGGAGGTACATGTCGCAAAGCGCTATTCAGAAACCTCGCCGCTCGAGGTTGTGTGTCCTCCGACAACCCTCTCTGCGCCTCAGAGGGCCAACATCCGGGCTCAAGGTTCCTACGCTGTAGTTCTCCACCGGCTCTCTCCTTCCTGGCGCCTTTCTTCTGGCAGCCTCAGTTCCTGTCTCTGCAGACTTTGGCAAGTCAGACCCCGGTACCTGCCATACCCGCGGGAGCCTCACCCTGATCCCGAACGAAGAGAAGCAGGAGTCCACTGGCCACGGTACTCCACCCTGTGCGAAGTCTGTCCAGCTTCATGGTCGGCTCACAGAGGGCATACTGCTTTTCACCGAGAGACTGCCCAGGGGCCCGTACAGCCGCTGATTAGTGAGTACTTTTCTCAGATCGGGAGTTTGGACTGGGCAGGGAGAAAGCGGGGCGCGCGGGAGACAGGTGGGTTTGGCAGGAGAGGGGCACTGAGCAGGCAAAGGCCAGTGTCAGGTAGGCACTGGCGCCGCTACTTCTTCTCTGCCTGAGCCCCCTTAGGCCATTTGAGAAGGGGCCGCGAGGCTTCTGCAAGCCCCTCTGCAATACCAAGAACCCTTTCCTCAAACTTGAGTTCACTATCCTTATAGTCACGGGCCTGACAAGGGTATTTTGGGTATGAGAGAAGGAGCAATAAGCCGGGAAAAGGGAAGAGAAGGGAAGAAATAAGGAACCCAGGAGAGCTTCCGTAAAGAGGTGCATCATCAAGATTCCCATTGATAGAGAAATGGGAACAACCTTCGTTCAGAGTGAAGGGAACCACGTGAAGAAAGGCAAGGAGGTGTGACTGCTCTTCATCCTGAAAGTTCCTCCGAGCTTTCAGGGATGTTTTCTGGGTCTGCCTTCAAGGTTCCTCATCCGCTTATTGTCTGTCCCTAATCTGAGGGCCTCCGAGGGTCCCCACCCTACTCGGCCGTAGCCTGCCTTCTGAAATGCACAGGTGACTGTGGCGCTTACCTTAAAGACACTCCCAACCCCACCCCGTGGCTTTCCCTCTCGCCACTTCCCGCCAATATCGAGTTCACGGTCATTTATTCGCTTGACAAACATTTAAAGAACGTCTTCTGGTCTGAACTATGGGTACCCAGCAAGGCACCGAACCATGCCGGAATAGAGGCAACTCGGTGCAGGAGTGCCTGCTCAGACTAAGGGGCCGACTTCCAAGCAAGTAGTGCCTGAAGATACACCTGGCTCAGTCTCAGGAGGGTCTTCAGTGCCCCCCGAGAACCGGCCTTGGCCTCCGCCGTCCAGCACGCTACGGATTAGTACCGCCCGTCGCCGCCTTTGGTGGAAAGGTCGCGTCTTCCCGGGTCGGCGTAGAGAGCGCGCAGAGACCAACGAACCATACAAAACCTAGGCCGACTGCTGGAAGCACTGCGTGTCCCTCACACGACTCCGTTGCCCAGCCACGCCCCCTTCCAGTTCCCCGGAAGTGCGCCGTTAATAGCGGAAGTGCACGCCGACTGAGGTCCGTAGAGGTTCCGCGATGGTGGGCGGCGGCGGCGGCGGGGTTGGGGGCGGCCTCCTGGAAAACGCTAACCCTCTCATCTACGAGCGCTCTGGGGAGCGGCCGGTGACGGAGGGCGAGGAGGACGAGCAGGTTCCAGACAGCATCGATGCGCGCGAGATCTTCGATATCCGCTGCTGACGGGCGCGGGCTGGTTCTTGAGCCGGGAGGGGGGCAATGAAGTGATGTCCAATAGTTATTGGAGCTGTATCAGGGCCAGGCATCCCCGGAGGAGGGCTCTGATTGGGCAAAGGCGCAAAGTCCTCTTTCCTTTACTTGCCACATCTGATTCGCTCCATCAATGACCCGGAGCATCCACTGACGCTAGAAGAATTGAACGTAGTAGAGCAAGTCCGGGTTCAGGTGAGTCACTCCCAGAGTCCCAGGGGAGCAACTTGTTTGGGAGAATCAGAAAAGCTCAGCCGTGCCCTAAGGGGCTGGTGCTCTCTCAGCTCAGGGACTCTTCAGGGGATCTTTTGGAAGAGGGGATTGGTGTGCCCATTTTATGGATGAAGAAACTGAGGTCCATAGAGGTTAGACGACTTGCCTGGTGCAAAAAATTAAGAGGGTCTCTGGGCTGAAAGGCGCATGACTCCTTACATTGCCCACCCTCCCTCCCAACCAGGTGAGCGACCCTGAGAGCACAGTGGCTGTGGCCTTCACACCCACCATTCCTCACTGCAGCATGGCCACCCTTATTGGTCTGTCCATCAAAGTCAAGCTTTTGCGATCCCTTCCCCAGCGTTTCAAGGTAAGTTGGAACTGAGCCCTGGGGACGAGACAGGGGTAAGCATCTTCTACTGAGGAGTTCATGAGAGCATGAACATGAACGTCAGAGTGAGACCTAGAAGGATCCCAGCTAGCAGAGATGAAACTGGGAGGAGGCTTTCCAATTGAATGGGACAACAAGAATAAAGACCTGAGCTGCAAGTGCAGAAGAGTGGTGAGTGTGGCAAGAATGGCAGTAGGGCACTGTAAATAGGTTTGGAACAGGGATGGGGCACAGACAGGCCTTCAACAGCAGTTGGCCAGTCCTTTGGGTAGAGATGGAGTGACTATGGATGGGTTTGGGGTGTATTAGAAGGGCCAGAGACCAGAGGCATGATTAGGAAGAAGGATCAGCTGGAAGTGGTGAGTGGGAGAGAGTGAAGAGGGTAGACAGGCTCGTCCTCTCTCCCTCCCAGATGGATGTGCACATTACACCAGGGACCCACGCCTCAGAGCATGCAGGTAAGTGTGAGCTGGTGTTGAGGCATTGGCCTTGAGGTTTCCCCCGCTTGCCATGGTGGTTTATGGGGCAAGATGGGATGCTGGGTGGGTGACTCCTTAGTGGAGGTAGCAGCCTAGACTGAAGCTGGACTGACTTGAGTCTCCTGTCTTACTGTATTCCCCCATTCCCATCCTCTCCCTCTCCTAACTACACAGCACCAGGGTTTATCAGGCTTTATAGTATAGGAGGCAGAAATGAACAGCCAGGTGGGAGGGGTCCCAGAAGTTGAGAGAGGTGTGGGCTCAGGTGGTTGGGGTAGCCTGATCAAGGTTCGTGGTCCTGGGAAGGAAGTGATGGAGAAGGGGGCAGGGGAGTTTGTTGGTGGGAGTATGCATATATTTCACCACTCCCTCTTTTCCACCCAGTGAACAAGCAGCTTGCAGATAAGGAGCGGGTGGCAGCCGCTCTGGAGAACACTCATCTGCTGGAGGTTGTGAACCAGTGCCTTTCGGCCCGCTCCTGAGCCCTGGCTCTTTGCCCCCAGCCCCACCCATGGCTCATGGCCTTGTTTTCTGGAATCACTGACAATGAGAAACATTTTGCATTTTGTAATAAACCCTTAATTTATATTCATTTCTCAAGCGTGCCTTAGAGTCTTTCATCTTGGTAGGGGTCACTCTGGGTTTAGGGGGTGGTAGTGAGTGCCTATACAGACTTGGTCAATGAGGTGCAGTTCATTTAAAAAATTTCCCCCAATGATTTGATTAAGAAAAGTTGCAAGTATACCAAAACATTAAAGAGTAGTGTAATGAACACACCTAGATTCACCTATACCCACCACCTAGATTCAACAGTTGTTAATATGTTGTAACATTGGCTTTATTTATGTGTGTGTAATATAAATATATTTGAGAGTAAGCTGTAGACACATGACCTTTCACTCCTAAATACTTTATCCTGTGTTTCAAGATAACCACAGTACTGTTATCTAGCCAAAAAAAGAACAATTCCCTAATACCATCAAATATTGAATCATCTATGACTTCCCCCAAAATGTCATTCATAGTTGTTTTTTAATCAGGCTTCCATCAAGGTTCGTGTATTACATTTGGTTATTATCTCTCTTTAGCCTCTTCTAGAACTGTCTCCCCACCCCCCACCTTTTTATCTTTCCTGACACACTTTTTTGAAAAGTTCGAGTTGTCCTTTAGAAGCCCCTCAGTCTGATCTGTTTCTTTGCTATATTGTCTGTAAACTAGAAGTTGATTGAGTTCAGATTTGAGTTTATTAAAGAGAACCTTGCCCAAGAGTGTTGTATGTGTCCTTTAGCATCCACCAGTGGGTAGGTGATGTCATCATGACCCACCATTGATGGTACTTAGTCTGGTTCCTTGGTCAGGGCAGTGACAATAGATTTCTCCATGGAAAGGAACCTGAAGCACCCTCTCCACAAGCACACCGGGGGTATGTGTCACCCCAGGTACTCAGGTTTGGGGCCTCTGGCTCCCCCAGCTCTGTGACCAGAGCACAGTTGGTTACAAGAGCAGACCCTGGGGCTTAGACCTCAGATCAGCCAGTTAGCCATAATATTATGATTTCCTGTCTCTCTTTCTCTGAGGATAAATGAGGATATTAAGAAGCCTTGCCCTGCTT